GATGGATACTAAAAGTTTAACTTTAGAAAATTATAATTTACATTTGGTAATTTTAATCTTTATGGAATTCTAATATTTAAATGTAGTCATTTCTACTATTGTAAAATTTCAATCAATACCAACATTATTCTAAATAATTACTATTTTGAAACATGTACCAAATTTAAAAAAAAAAAAAAATGCTGCCGCACTGGGGTGGGTGTCATCAGTGGTGTTTTATAACCTACGTCATCTGTGGTTTCGGGTCTTTCAACATCTGACCCCACTTCCCCTGTTGACCCAATTAGGGCTTATCAGGCCATGATCAACCTTGACACAACTGGATACCACTTTATAGTAGCTTCATTGGTGGTTCCGTTCCGAAATTTTATAAATTTCAGGTGAATTTGAACTCAAGGATACAAAACGGAATACGAAAATCATTTGAAGATTGAACAGGGCTACTTGTCACACAGGCTGCTCATGCTAAAGATAAACAAAAAATATTTTTCCAGCTGTATATCTATATTACTGCTACTATTCCAACTATGCATTCTGCCCTTTTAACATAGTTGGCAGTGTTGTCACAGCTGTGCTTCCGTAACTACTTGCTCCCACGTGGTCTATTGGTTTGTTGTCACAGCTGTACTTCCATACTACCTGTATGATCTCGTTATTGTTATCATATGATAAAAATACTTTTAAAAAATAGCTTTTTTCTACTTTTAACGCCTGAGTGTGTGCGTGTGTGTAAAAATAAATTTTAAAAATTGGTGGTAATATTTTGAGCCAGCATTTATCAAATGCCGAGCAAATTTTATTTTTTCCCCTCAAGTAGTGGTGGTTGACTTTAATTGTGTAATAACAGCGGTTGCACTACATCTGATATATCGAGAGAATTGTGCCTGTGTTACTTCTTTCTCTCCCCGCTCCCCTTCTGTCCATCTCTACGCCATCATCATACCACCAACCTTCTGGTCTTTTCTCTTGAGTAAATAATTGCTCTGACCTACAAACCTGATTCTTCAGCTGTGTAATAAGGTCAGCCTCTCCTCGATAGTTATCAATCTTGCAACCTTTCTATCTTCCCCCTCCACAATTTCAAACTCCACTTCCTCTTTTCTTTTTTTTCTTTTCTCTACTTTTATATTTTTCTTTCTCTTTCTCTTTTTCTCCTCCTTCCTCTTTTCTTTCTCTTAACTTTTTTTTTGCCTTGCACTATTCTCCGCTCTTTTTCTCTCTCTCTCTCTAATCTTCCACCAGTTTTTATTTTTCTCTCTTTCTACCGTTTCCATCATCCTTTCAGATTTTGTACATAAAACAATCTACTCTTTTTAACCAAGCATCCATTTTTTTTTTTTAAATCTTGCTCTTTTTTTCTTTAATTGTTCTCTTTCCTTATTTTCAGTATAAATCATTGGCTGTCTGCTTGATCTTAACAGCCGATTCGAATCTGTCATTGCACTCGTATATACACTTGGCCGCTATGTTACATGCCATTACGTGTCTCAAAACTTGAAAAACATTTAGGTTCTGAACTCGCTTTTAAAAAATGTTACAATTAATACTAGCATACTTAACACTAGCTATTTTTTTTTTTTACCTATGCAAAAATTTGATAATAGAAGTGATAGAGTATTTGCAACATTTCTTGCAACTTAAAATTAAATGATTTAAATTTTGAAAATCCATTTGTGAACCTAAAGTTCTTTAATCTTTTATTCTTTTAATACTCCAAATTTTGAGTTAACTTTTGAGATGAAATACTAAAGTATAACTACATTTAAATCTTTTTTTGTTTTTTGTAAAATATCTTTTTTGTAATAAAATATCTTTTTTTTTCTTTTTTTTTTTTGTAAAATCTTTTTTTGTAAAATCTTTTTTTGTTGTAGTATAAATATTTCTAAATTGATTAATCTTTTGAACTCAACATGCAAATTAATTTCGACGACATTAGGAGAGATGAACCAACTTTTTTTTTTTTTTTTTTTTCATCTTTTTGATTTTTCAAAATTTTAAGAGCTAATTAAAAATAAAACAGTTGGTAAATTTAGGAGAGATTTATTTATTTTTTTGGCTAGCAAGATATTTCAATGCAAGTCTTCCGCCTAGAAATATATATATTCCAATAATTGGATATTTTTTTCTTCTCAAATTTGGTGAAAGATCTCTGATCATTATTTGATCCAATATAAAAGGTATTGATTGTGGAAAATGGCTTTGCTATATTTGCAAAATATTTTTATTCTGGGGTTTTGCTTATGTTGTCACGAAGTAAGTAGGGACATGTTTGAGTTTGCTTCTACAATTACAGGGCAACTTTAATGGAGGTTTCTGCATGCTTTTAAAATATCTGAGTGAAGAGTGAACAACAATTATTTCTCGTGTGTAACTGGATCTACTTCTTGATGAATTTTGATGCAGATAATTACCCACTAGAAAAAGAGGTCCCTGTAGAGTACCATAAGTTTTTATGAAGAATGGAAAGGCAGCAACAACAAAATATCACCCAAGCTAAGCATCTTTGATTTGTTGAGATTGTTTTCCTAATTTTCTTTTACACTGAATACACCTAAGCTGAAGCAGGAATATAAAATTGAGAAATATTTAAAAGAAACAGGCTGTCAGGGAATATTGTTTTGGTACTAAGTGGATCAAAAGTACTCAAAAGAATATACGACAACAAAACAATAAGTGAAAAAATGGTATGGAAGTACTAGGTTAAAAAACTAAAAGGAATCCCAGTGAGTAAAAAAAATTAAACCGGACATGATTGGGTGGGTGACCTGCAATGGAGAAGTAATAAGCAAGTGTGTGAAGTGGTAGTTATAATAGGATTTATCTAAATCCCTTACATTATTAAGGGCTTGTACTCTTTTATTCTATTTTACGAGAAGAGGCTATAATAATTAATCTGACATTTTGTGTAAAAGGGGGAGGAAAGTGATATTTAAAAAAAAAACGTTTTACTTTTCAGTGTTTCACTTTTTCATCAGTTTTAAAAATTAATAATCAGAATTTTGGTGTTTTAGTTTTACTGTTTGTTTTTACTTTTTAGTCTAAGCGAAAAAATTGGAAATTTTTTTTCATTAATTTTTCTGAACATAGAAATAACTTAATTTTCAATTTATTATGAATTTTATTTTATTAACATTTTAAATTTTATTAAGGGTTTAGAGAGAGAATCGTATTTCCAACAGTTTTTAAAATTAACCGATTTTATCTTTTTTAAAACCGTCAGTTTTTTTGTATTATTTTTTATTTATTTTTTTATTAACTATTTCATTCTGAGGTTTTAGGCGCATTAGAGAAAAAAAAAAAGATTTTCTGTTCATATGTACAACTTACGTCGTTCTATAAAAATGTTTAAAATTTTTGAATTTATTTATTACGCTTTCTTTACCTACTTAAATGTTAGTAAAACATTTTATTTTTTTTACTAGTAATTTCTTTCATTATTTAATTTCAGTTGCTTTCTATCGCAACTACTTAATTACACCGGACAGTTTTTAAATGGCTCAGAAATTACAATGGAAAACAAATTAAGTAGAAATAAATTAGAAATACAAGTAAAAAAATAAAATTTAAAAAAAAAGAAAAAATGATTAAACAAACTTCACTTAACACAAGAGCCTCAGCAATTCGGTCACCCATCTAAACACAAATCAGAATCGACATAGCTTAAACATCACTGATCAGGTGGTAAACAATGCATTTAAAAGCCAAGACACGCCCGCGCGTTTTTTTTTTGGGGGGGGGTATCTTTTTTAATTTTTACTAATACTACAGGCAAAACTTTGATAATGACTTGTGAAAATCGGAAGTACTCGGACATTAGACAATATTCAAAAAAAAAAAAAAAAAAAAATGTACCGGAAAAAAAGGTTCGACATATAGAAAAAAAAAAACAAATGCAACTCCTATTAAGCAAAAAACTTTCGTTGTTTTTTGTTTTTTTTTGTTTTTTACTTTTTAATTTACTTTAACAAACTTTTATAAAGTTTGATGTGAGGCTTAATTAGCCTTTGAAAATTAACTCTTTTTTAGCAGTTGTCCAATAATTGGACCCTGTATATGCATTCAGCCAGTGTAACAGTAATAAAATGAAAATATTTGAATTGTAATTAATTTTATTTAATTCAGTTAATTTTAATTAAAACACTTGAGATCTGAAGACTTTTTTCTTTTAGTTTTATAATCAAGAAGCAGGTGTGCGTTACTTAAAAAATGTCTTCATCCTCAATGTACCTTACGTTCATTTAAAAAAATAAATAAACAAAATACATTTAATTTTTTTAGACTTGTGTGCAAATGGCTAACAATGTAAGCTTCTGGGTTTGAACTAGTTTCAAGAACGAATATTTAACGTGATGAGCTGGAGTTTGTTTCGGTTGAAAGAAAAGAATCTTAAGTACATGCTGGGAAGGTATCAGGTTGTGGCTTAAGTTCATGTTGCCCTTAAGGAAGAAGAAGGAGGTAGAGACAAGGCGATGGTTTCTGTTGTCATCATTATGTCACGTGTACTCCAGGGTGGGAGGAGTGTGACACAACTTATGACACACTGACTGACTGACTGACGATCTTGGTTGGGTGACTGATTTAGAATGGATCTGATAGTCGGGTGTCCTTGTAATGAAAACTCCTCTTTCCTCTTCTTTTACTCTTTCATTCTTACTTCGCTCTTCTTACACGCTTCTTTTGCTTCAGTCTTTTTATTCTATCCATGTTTTAAATTCATCTCTTATTTTTGTCTTTCTTGCTACAAAATGTGAAAAACAAAGATTCTTATTCAGTAACTAACCGTTTTTTTTTTTGTTTTTTTTTCTAATAGACCCTTCTTTTCATTATTGGTTGACATACAAACCTTAAGTCAGCTGAAACGAAAAACCAAACTTATCACGAATAATGTACGTTGAAGTAATTACAAATTTACCAGCAGCAACCTGTCCTCTTCTTAATTTAATAAAAATCGATAACGATTACAATTACCCAATATTCTTAATCTTAACGATACTGTTGCTATGTTAAATCTTCAAATTATTGGCATTTTTACCATCTTTCATGAGCATATCAATTGCTTTCATTTCCTAACTTCGGTCCTCTCTCTCTCTCATATTAGATCGCTTCGGTTTTCCCTTCTCTCTTTTTTCTCATTAAGTCGTTTCGATTTTCCCTTCGTTCTCTCTCTCTGTCTCATTACCTCGTTTCAGGTTCTCTCTCTCTCTGTCTCATTACCTCGTTTCAGGTTCTCTCTCTCTCTCTGTCTCATTACCTCGTTTCAGGTTCTCTCTCTCTCTGTCTCATTACCTCGTTTCAGGTTCTCTCTCTCTCTGTCTCATTACCTCGTTTCAGGTTCTCTCTCTCTCTCTGTCTCATTACCTCGTTTCAGGTTCTCTCTCTCTCTCTGTCTCATTACCTCGTTTCAGGTTCTCTCTCTCTCTGTCTCATTACCTCGTTTCAGGTTCTCTCTCTCTCTCTGTCTCATTACCTCGTTTCAGGTTCTCTCTCTCTCTCTCTGTCTCATTACCTCGTTTCAGGTTCTCTCTCTCTCTCTCTGTCTCATTACCTCGTTTCAGGTTCTCTCTGTCTCATTACCTCATTTCAGGTTCTCTCTGTCTCATTACCTCGTTTCAGGTTCTCTCTGTCTCATTACCTCGTTTCAGGTTCTCTCTGTCTCATTACCTCGTTTCAGGTTCTCTCTGTCTCATTTTACCTCGTTTCGCGTCTTCTCTCTGTCTCATTTTACCTCGTTTCGCGTCTTCTCTCTGTCTCATATTACCTCGTTTCGCGTCTTCTCTCTCTGTCTCTCATTACCTCGTTTCGCGTCTTCTCTCTCTGTCTCTCATTACCTCGTTTCGCGTCTTCTCTCTCTGTCTCTCATTACCTCGTTTCGCGTCTTCTCTCTCTGTCTCTCATTACCTCGTTTCGCGTCTTCTCTCTGTCTCTCATTACCTCGTTTCGCGTCTTCTCTCTCTGTCTCTCATTACCTCGTTTCGCGTCTTCTCTCTCTGTCTCTCATTACCTCGTTTCGCGTCTTCTCTCTCTGTCTCTCATTACCTCGTTTCGCGTCTTCTCTCTCTGTCTCTCATTACCTCGTTTCGCGTCTTCTCTCTCTCTCTCATTACCTCGTTTCGCGTCTTCTCTCTCTGTCTCTCATTACCTCGTTTCGCGTCTTCTCTCTCTGTCTCTCATTACCTCGTTTCGCGTCTTCTCTCTCTGTCTCTCATTACCTCGTTTCGCGTCTTCTCTCTCTGTCTCTCATTACCTCGTTTCGCGTCTTCTCTCTCTGTCTCTCATTACCTCGTTTCGCGTCTTCTCTCTCTGTCTCTCATTACCTCGTTTCGCGTCTTTCTCTCTGTCTCTCATTACCTCGTTTCGCGTCTTCTCTCTCTGTCTCTCATTACCTCGTTTCGCGTCTTCTCTCTCTGTCTCTCATTACCTCGTTTCGCCTCTTCTCTCTCTGTCTCTCATTACCTCGTTTCGCGTCTTCTCTCTCTGTCTCTCATTACCTCGTTTCGCCTCTTCTCTCTCTGTCTCTCATTACCTCGTTTCGCCTCTTCTCTCTCTGTCTCTCATTACCTCGTTTCGCCTCTTCTCTCTCTGTCTCTCATTACCTCGTTTCGCCTCTTCTCTCTCTGTCTCTCATTACCTCGTTTCGCCTCTTCTCTCTCTCTCTCTCATTACCTCGTTTCGCCTCTTCTCTCTCTGTCTCTCATTACCTCGTTTCGCCTCTTCTCTCTCTGTCTCTCATTACCTCGTTTCGCCTCTTCTCTCTCTGTCTCTCATTACCTCGTTCGCGCCTCTTCTCTCTCTGTCTCTCATTACCTCGTTTCGCCTCTTCTCTCTCTGTCTCTCATTACCTCGTTTCGCCTCTTCTCTCTCTCTCTCATATTACCTCGTTTCGCCTCTTCTCTCTCTCTCTCTCATTACCTCGTTTCGCCTCTTCTCTCTCTTTCTCTCACACTTACTAAACACATATAGCAGTCACATATCCATTCACCATCTCAATTGGGTTAGTAAACTTTATTTATACTTTGTTTATCTCTCTTCTTTTTACTTCTCTCTCTCTCTTAAAACAATTTTTTTTAATCAGAATCTGTTTTGATTCTTCTCTTTGTGTTTGCTTACAAAATGTCATAAAATGAATTGAAGGTTATATTGTTTAGACATCAGATCCCTGTGACATGGCATATTGCTTATTGCAACCATGAGGATGACTTGATAGTCAAAGCATAAGCCAAATGTTGATTGGGGGGGTGCAATCTAAGTTCATTTAATGTTATCACATCAATACATGAATCTGATTGGCCACTTGTAGCAACTTCAAGATAGTATTTACACTGTTTACATTGTTCATATTGTTTTCCTTGTCGTTATTGTTACATTCACAACATTTCAGCTGTTGTACACTCCAGCCTTCTTCAGGTGATATCCATTGGAATTTCAAACTGAACGCTTTATTTCATCCACTAGAGTAGATTGTTCTAGTTCCACGTACCATGCCTTTTCTAGTTTCAGTTTGTTATTTTAGTAACTCAACTCTCCAAGCTTTTGCTGACCTCTACTGTTGCCAGGTATTGAACTCACAACTATTTAGGTCAAGTTACTGGATTACTTCAGCCAACATTTTTATTCACTGGGCCATGAGTCCTTGGATGAAATAAAGGGTTCAGTTCAGAATTCTAACGTATATCACCTGAAGAAGGCTAGAGTGTACAATGGATGAAACATTGTGAATATGACAAAGATGAGGACAATAGACTGAACAATAGACAAAGATTAATAGTCTTTTCTTTTACGTGCCATATCCCTTCAGAATGTGGGGGATCATGGCTCTCCCTAACTTCCTATCCTTTGTAGCTCAATGTTTTTTTATGGTTCTTCTCCCTCTGTTTTTCTATCCATTTTTAAGGTTATTTGCTATTTCTGTCTTCTCCGCTTGCCTTCAATATATCCTGTGAGTGTCAAATTCTCCAAACCCTCTTTCTTCATGTGTCCCAGAAATTTCAACTGTCTCTTTCTGATTCTAAGTAGAAGTGTCCTTTTTGTTTCAATTTTCCTTAAAACTTCCTCATTGTTTATATGCTCTGTCCATGGTATTCTCAGTATCCCTCTATAGAGCCACATCTGTTGACTCCAGTCTCTTCATCTGTTGGAAAAATTGTCCAACTTATTGATATGCCATAACAGTTCATCACTCTTTTCTTTGTTTCTAATGGACTGTTTTTGTTAATACTTTTAGTTTTTGGAAGGCATCTTTGATTATTCCAATATGCTTTTGGATTTTGGTGACTCATTTTCTATTAGAGTTCTTCTGATATTGTTAAATTTCTGTATTTGATTGATTTTGACATATTTAGTTGGTAGCTCACATTTTGAGTTGTTCATCTTGCTGACCACCATAGAGGTAAATGAATTAAAAAAAGCTTGAAAATAAATATTAACTTTAAACAATTCTAAACTTTGCACTAGTTTCATTTATTACATTTCAGTTTGTCTACCACATATCACTTCTTGCTTCTATTTTGGTATGCAGAATTAAAATTAGAATATATTTACTTCAATTTTAGAAGTATTATGCTAAATGCACCATGCAGTTTACATGAGTTCCAAATTAGATGCTTCCCTCTGTTAGATGAATTTAAATAGTTGAACTAACTTCAGAATAGTTACTTCATGTAGGCTTCCATATGCACTACTTAAAAAGAAGTTTACTTTTGAAAGATTTTTTTTTTTTAATGACAGATTTGTCAATATGTCCGATTTTAGCAATTTAAAAAAAAACACTCATTCCAGTGAATTTAAATTCAGTTTGAAATAAAGCAAAGTATTTTGTTTATTGGAAATATTAAATTTAATCTGTTAGCTTGGAATTAAAAATAAATAAAAGCTTCAGGAAAAAATTTTCATTTTTAAAATGCATTTTAAACTTTAGGTATCAACTCCCCCCACACACACACACACCTTTTTTTGGTATCTGTAGAAGTAAGTCCTGAAGATTTTAGAAGTACAAGATAGATTGTCAGAAAAGCCATTATCTTTCTCTGTCTCTACCAAAATGTTTTTGCTTCTGTCTAATTTTCTTATAAAAAGCAAGAGTCATTATGAACATTTTATGGAGATTAATATTTTGAGTGACTCCTTAATTTAATTTTTTGATACTCTGCTATCAAAGATTTTAAAATTGTAAGGCTTGTAATTCTGTAGAAGTCTTAGGGTTTCTTTCTCTTGTTCGTATTTATATTGAAGTAAATTTTTATATAAACACTTCAGTGGCCTGGGGGGGGGGGCAATCAGATGTCAAATAAGCAAAGAAGAAAGACACTGGCGGTAAACTTGTTTTGATCTTTTTTAGGAATTAATGAGTGCCACTGATAAGCACTCCTACACTGTCTGTTACTATCAGAAAATGATGTGTTCCTTGTGATCTTTGCTTGCCTTGTTCCTCGTTGCATAGCACACCTTCCCAACCACTGCTGCTAAAAACTGCCATCTTTTGTCAGCTGGAATCTCTCTGATGTACATATTATCCATTCCACCACTTCTGTTGCACACACACAGAATTTTTTGTTGTCTAAAAGACAGTCACCTGTTGCTATGATTTCTCTCTCTTTATCATTATTTCTCCCTCTGTCATTATTACTTCTCTCTCTCATCTCACTTTCTCTCTCTCATCTCACTTTCTCTCTCTCATCTCACTTTCTCTCTCTCATCTCACTTTCTCTCTCTCATCTCACTTTCTCTCTCTCATCTCACTTTCTCTCTCTCATCTCACTTTCTCTCTCTCATCTCACTTTCTCTCTCTCCCTCTCTTTATCATTATCATCTCTCTCTCCCTCTCTTTATCATTATCATCTCTCTCTCCCTCTCTTTATCATTATCATCTCTCTCTCCCTCTCTTTATCATTATCATCTCTCTCTCCCTCTCTTTATCATTATCATCTCTCTCTCCCTCTCTTTATCATTATCATCTCTCTCTCTCTCTCTCTCTCTCTCTATCATTATCATCAACATTTCTCCTTCTCTAACATTTTTCTTTTTGATACTACCTTTTACTTCTTTCTCCCTCTGTCTCCCCTTATTACATTGTTTTCCAACGTATCCGCTGTGTGTCTGTGTGTGTGTCTCTCTCTCTCTCTACCCAATCCTTATTTTGTTCTCGGGTATTATTTTTCTTTTCTTTTTTACTGTTTTTTGATTTCTCCTCCTTTTTCCGTGATTTCGTTTTCTCCTCCCTTTTCCGTGATTTCGTTTTCTCCTCCCTTTTCCGTGATTTCGTTTTCTCCTCCCTTTTCCGTGATTTCGTTTTGTCCTCCCTTTTCGGTGATTTCGTTTTGTCCTCCCTTTTCGGTGATTTCGTTTTGTCCTCCCTTTTCGGTGATTTCGTTTTGTCCTCCCTTTTCGGTGATTTCGTTTTGTCCTCCCTTTTCGGTGATTTCGTTTTGTCCTCCCTTTTCGGTGATTTCGTTTTGTCCTCCCTTTTCGGTGATTTCGTTTTGTCCTCCCTTTTCGGTGATTTCGTTTTGTCCTCCCTTTTCGGTGATTTCGTTTTGTCCTCCCTTTTCGGTGATTTCGTTTTTGTCCTCCCTTTTCGGTGATTTCGTTTTGTCCTCCTTTTCGGTGATTTCGTTTTGTCCTCCTTTTCGGTGATTTCGTTTTGTCCTCCCTTTTCGGTGATTTCGTTTTGTCCTCCTTTTCGGTGATTTCGTTTTGTCCTCCCTTTTCGGTGATTTCGTTTTGTCCTCCCTTTTCGGTGATTTCGTTTTGTCCTCCTTTTCGGTGATTTCGTTTTGTCCCCCTTTTCGGTGATTTCGTTTTGTCCTCCCTTTTCGGGTGATTTCGTTTTGTCCTCCTTTTCGGTGATTTCGTTTTGTCCTCCCTTTTCGGTGATTTCGTTTTTGTCCTCCCTTTTCGGTGATTTCGTTTTGTCCTCCTTTTTCGGTGATTTCGTTTTGTCCTCCTTTTCGGTGATTTCGTTTTGTCCTCCCTTTTCGGTGATTTCGTTTTGTCCTCCCTTTTCGGTGATTTCGTTTTGTCCTCCCTTTTCGGTGATTTCGTTTTGTCCTCCCTTTTCGGTGATTTCGTTTTGTCCTCCTTTTTCCGTGGTTTCCATGGCAATTTCTTTTATAAACACATTTAGGCAAATGCATCATTAGATGTGTTCAAAATGTAATCTATTTCCTGCCTTCACACCTGCATAACTGTAAGTAGAAAGTTGAGAGAGGGGAAATAGTTTTCTTTTTGAAAGAAAATTCCTGAATAGATGTGTTGGATTTTGATAATCTGAAAAAGAAATGAATACATTTCACAGTTTAACTATTATTTCTAAAATAATTAATGATAATAGTTAACTTAAAAAAATAATTTAAAATATTTGGCATAAAATACATTGGAAAATGTTTTTTTACCATGTAAGGGAGGTAATTATGTAAAGTGAATGAATTAAAGTTAAATCTAATTTAAATTGCCTGGAGGAAAACTTGATTTTGATGTAAGATTTTATTTGCATTCTAAACCAGAGCAAATCAGTCTCATTTGTTGAACATATAGCTATCTTATAGCCATTTAAAAGACCTGTTGAACTCTCACAAGAGAAGCTGTTGTTTTTTTTTTGTTTTTTTTTTTGTTTTTTGTTTTTCTTTCATTTGATAACTTGTCAACAGAGTTAGAACAAGAAATTGATCTCTCTACAGGTAACACAATGTTGGGGCATGGTAATCAATCAGTTTCCTTGTACAGGACGTCTTATAAATCTAACAAACACATTGCCAACTAATGAAAGGTGCTGCTAGTCCCCCTCCCAAGTGAAATCCATATAAGTATTGACATTTTCATTTGCTTGCATACAACTTTTTTGGTTTGCTAAGTCTGGCATTATCTGTTAAATGCTTTCTCTCAAATTGAAAAGGACATTTAATTTCCTTGTTGGGTGGAGTTTTGTCCCAAATATTTGCTGGCTGCAATGTCACTCACTCTTTAAAGACCTTTTGCCAGGACATTTTCACAGGTTACACAAGCTGATTTAAATATATACATTCTGTTACCAAAAATTTAGGGAAATTAAAGTGGGGAAAACTGAAAAGTCTTCTTTCAAAAAGGATACAAAATCATATTTTATGATTTCCAAGCGATATATGAAATGTCCATCAAAACATGAGAAATACTAACTTGATAAATAAATTCATCAATCTAAATCATTTAAACTTTGTGTGTTACTTCATTGTTATATGGGAGAAAACAACATATAAATTTTTATATTAAAAGAAAATATAAGTAAAAAAAAAAGTTTTTTGTATGCTGTGTTTCTTCTTTTAGGATTTCATCAGATTAAATTTAAACATTTTAAAATAATTTTTTTTTTTTTAATTTTATGTATTTAGATATGTAGTCTAGCTAATTTCATTTTGTTTTTCTTTTTCTTTTTATCACTTTAAGTATCCAAAATTGAGATAATAGAAAATCTGCCAAGAAAAGTGAAATATAAGAATCTGGACACAAATTTACTGTGGATGATCTAGCGATTAAAGCACTTCTTATATATAAATTTTTGTCTTAGTAAATTGTTTTCTCTTTTAATTAAAATAGCATCTTCTAAATTAAAATTATGGTAAAACTCATTACAGTGTACAACTAACACATTGAGTGTTTTGTAAAAGATCCCTTTTATGTATATATAATCTTTTATTTAAATTCCTCAAAATTTCTAAGTATTCCTTGTAGCAAGTATTACAGGTGATAGTGAATTACTCTCAAGATTTGTTGTAGTTGTGATAGAATTGGTAGGTAGAATAATATATTTTGATTTGTTGGGTGTGTCAGAATGGTCCACTCTATTTTGAAATATTTTACAAGCCTTTTGTTTCACATTGAATATGATATAATTAGGTATTGGAACTTACAAGTAATTTCAGTGTATTTCTCCTCTTCATATAAATATTGAAGGTTAAATTATATATAAGTCTTCAATCGTTATTTTTAGTGGATACCTGTGTTTTGAAAAAGAATAAATACAAAGGAGGAGAAAACGAAATCACGGAAAAAGGAGGAGAAATCAAAAAACAGTAAAAAAAAAAAAGAAAAATAATACCCAAGAACAAAATACAAAAAATAATAAAATAAAATAAAAAAAATGGTTCATTTATTTCAAATATGGGTATCCACAAAAAAAAAATCTGTCAAGGGTCTCCGCCATGACTGTTGCAAATGCCTGCTCAGGCATACTTTGTGTTTTGTTAAACACCTACAATGCCTAATTATGGTTTATGGTGCAACTATGCTTAGTGGAGCTTAGTTACAGTTTCCAGGAGAGAGTGCATCATCTGGTACAAGGCCAGTATGCTCAAGCACTCAGTCATGATAACTTGTGATTTCAACCATCAACAAAATTTCCATAATTTCATTCACAAGGTCAACCTATGGTGTTTTTTTGTTTTTTTTTCATACAGGTACTTACCAAAGGTGCCACATGTTGGGATCACCTCCCTAGGCTGTTAACATGAAGAAATCACCTTGTTAAATTGACCATGGTGAAATTTGAACCCAGTTCTCCTTGTCGGGAAGAACATTTAACCCCCCCCACACACACACACACACCATAATATATATATATATATATATATAGGGAATGCATTAAAACAAACTCTAACTTATACAAAGCCTGAAGAATGAGACAGGAATCTACCTGATCAAAAACTGTCAATGCTCAAAGCCAAATAGTATAAAGGAAACCAAAATAATGAAAATTAAACGACAGAGCTGTAATAACTACAAATACATCCAGAGATGCTGACCTATAATTGTAACTCCAATTTTCAGACCAAAACTGTAATCATTAAATTCTTGCTGATAGCTGTTTCCCTTTGATCACATCATCTGATGATTGATGATTTTGTAGTAAACTCTGTTACAATTAGAGGTCTGTGTCTCAACACATATTTGTTATTGTTTTTTTTTTTTATACACACACACACACACACATTATATATATATATATATATATATATATATATATATATATATATAGTGTGTGTGTGTCTTGCTTAAAGACAACTGACAAGGTGCTGTGATCAAGCTTTTTATTTAATTTTTCTTGTATTTGTACAAGTGTTTCCTTTTCTGGGCACGAAATGAGAAAAGAACTTTTCAAAAGTTCTTTATATCCAAGTGCTTTCAGCTATTCTTTTAGCCATTATCAAGGTTTTTTTAAATATATATATATATATAATGAGTTTTTATTTATTTATATTTTTTATTAATCTGTCAGATTTTTACTACTTTAGTTATTTTTATTTTTGGTGGATTAGACACTCCATTTATTTATTTTTGTCTACCACCCTGAATATTTTATTATTAAAGGAAAATATGTGCTCTCTGGCAGGATTTGAACCTGTTTCCTTCTGAGCAGAGAGAACACATCATTAGAACTGATGTGCCTTTACTGACTTGACCATAAAGAAGCTTTGCTGATCAAGCAAGGTCTGAACAGTGCCATTAAGCAAAATTCTCATTGTAGATTACTTAATCAGCAAAACTTCTTCTTGGCCAAGTTGACCTCATAAATCACATCGGATCTCATGATGATTTCTCACTGCAGGTTCAAATTTTTTTTAATAAGATTTTTCAAATATTTATGCTTGTAGATGAAAATAAATAAATAGTTTAATAAATGGTGTGTCTGTTCAAGTGTGAATATCCACTAAAAATATAAATATACATGCAACAAATCTTAATGAATAAAGGTAACTTTTGAAAAAATGCAACAAATCAGTATTTAACCAAAAATCTAGGAATGGGATTTATTTTAATATCTAGAAATTTATTTGTCTTATGTTCATATAAATAATTGGGATGTGCTTGTAGCGTAGTGGCCAAATGCCTAGGCTTTTGTTTGTTTTTGAACAAATGCTCTTGGAAAAATATAAATCCATCTCTTTTCCTTCCCACCTCCAGCTTGGGGTTAATAGCAGGGTAACCTGAATTCTTTAGTCTTGATAAGAAATCAATTTAGGAGAGGGAGACAACTCTGAATTCAAAATTTGTTGGGCATGCAGCAAGCAACTGCACTCTGCAAAAGAAACCATAGCAGCAACACCGAGCATGGTGAGCGTGTGTTGCTATATTGTATGGGGGTCTACAGGGCATATAAACAAACATCAAAATATTAACAAAGTCAATAATGCTCATTTTATAAAAAGTTGATTACCTATAAACATGTTATATTTATACTTTCTTTTAAAATTCTTTGAACAAAATTATTTGAAGAAAGCATTAATAGTTTTTTCTCACTCACTCACTCACTCACACACACACACACACACACACACACACACAGTCTCTCCCACTCTCTCTCTCCCTCTTCCCTGCTCTATCTCACTCCTCAAAATTATTTGAGGAAAACGTTAATAGTTTACTCACTCACCTCCACACACGAAAGGAATTATATGAAGTATCCAAATCTGGTTTTTAATTTCTAAAAATAAGCACTTATATTTCAATATATAATTTTGCAATTTGATAACTTAGTGTAAGGTTTAGTGATGTTAGTAACTTGAAACAATTCCAAGTTTATATGAAGTTTATTCTAGACTATTTTGAAAATATATTAATTTTGCATGAAGTTATCCATTACATTTTCTTCTCACTGACAAGAC